ACCAAGAGATTAAAAGAAAAAAACAAAAAAAAAAGATTGTATTTCAAAACGGCTTAACGGACTCGGGAAACGATTCGATCAATGTGTAATCATTTTTGGCGTGAGGTCCCCCGTTCAGTGGCGGCGCTCCGGCGGAGTGGATTATCGTAGCGAAAGTGTTAATATTGTTATTTACAAAGCTGGTCAGTCCAAACAGTTTAAGAAACGATAGAAGAGATACGCGACGCCTAAGTTTACCAAGCGTTTCCAACGAAACGGCTCAACTCGTTTACGAGTTACGTGGATCGTTCAGCGCAGAAGAGAGTATCGCTGATAGTGAGTTACAGAGTCCGGGTGAGTTACGCAGGCCGGACCGGGGAGGGACCGTGCGCGCCGCGAAATTGGGATTTCTTTTCAGGAATTATGTTCTTCAACCGTCATTCATTGTGTCTGACGAAAGAGGGGCGGAGGGGAGAAAAAAAAATGAAAGAAAGAGAGAAAAAAAGGGAAAGAGGAGAGAGAAGGTGGAGAAAAGAGATGGAAAGAGGGGGAAAAAAAACGCGAGGCAGCTGTATGTAACTGTATAGAAGCGCGGAGGGTGGAGGGAGAGGGGGAAGAGAAGGAGAATCAGTTTCGTCGGATCGTCGTCGCAAAGTGCGCGCGTTTTACGCTTCCGCGGAAAGTGGGTCAGACCGAGTGCCGAATGACTTGGCACGTTTTCCCTCGTTTCCGTGATAGACGATTCTCCCCGGCTTCCCACGGCAAAAACACGACCATTCGCGACCGCACGAGTATCCGCGGCGTTTTCAATTCCTGTTAGTCCTGCAGCGCGCGCCCTTCCGCCCGCGAGAATCGCTTTTCACGTGGAACGTCGTCCACGGGAAAAAGACGACGCGCCGCGGTTAACGACATCGTCATTATACGTCGCGAGCGGTGCTCCAAGATCACAGACTCTCCCCCGATCTTCTTTCAACGCTTCTCCGTGCGCGCAGTCTCGCTTTGTCGCCGTCATTTCTAGCAATCGTGAATTTTACTGTGCTGGCTCATTTCGTTTGTTCGAGCGATCAGTTCGACCATCGTAAGATTCATTGTCGGACAATTTTTCGAATCGCACTGACCTATATATGGTAATAAATTTTCTCACGTTTCAATTTTCTATGCAAGGAGATGGTAGGTTTCGTTCGGACAAAGAGGAAATACTCGAAACCGCCACGTTTTCGACGTTGTCGGATCGATTGTCGGACAATTTTTCGAATCGCACTGACCTATATGGTAATAAATTTTCGCGTTGCAATTTTCCAACTCGAGGAGATGGTAGGTTTTCCTTCGGATAAAGAGAAGACACTCGAAAGAAAACACTCGAAACTGCGACCTGCAGAGAGAAAGAGGAGCAAAAGATAGATAGATAGATAGATAGATAGATAGATAGATAGAGAGAGAGAGAGAGAGAGAGAGAGAGAGATGGATAGAGGGACGAGCGTCCGCTTAGCCCGAAGCTAGACTGCTCGAAGAAACGTTGTTTCATATTCCTTGTGTGCACGCGGAGCCCATTTCTGGCCCGTTTCAATCGCGAAATCGGGGACGTACTCGACTCGTCGAGGTGCCTGTCTGCCCTTGCGGATCTACGGCCGGGTAGACACACTCGCGTAGCCCAGTTGGGCTCTCGTCTAGGAAAGGGAAGAAGAAAACGTCAATGAAGGTGCGACGGCAAGAGTACGATTCCGGGTCGAGCTTGGTCCGGGTGACCGAAAAAGGGGGAACGAGATGCCGTAGCCAGAGAAAGACGGGATCACTCGACGCTCCACCAGGGTTGTGGAGGACGTGCGGAGTAAGGAAGATAGAGAGGAAAGGGACGTTCCTCTCTCGATAAGAAAAAGAGGGTTGATGTGTGTCGGTGGTCCAGGAATCGGTCGGCGGTGGGGTCTCGAAGAGAGTGGTGGTAACGACAGCGGTGCGAGAGGGTGGCAGCGTAGGAGGATTTGGAGCTCTGCCACGTCGGGAGCACCCTCTTGCTCGAGAGCTCTACTGCGATCACCGATACCACACTACAGAACGTCCGCGGTTGGTACTCGTAGGGGTTTGGAGGAGGCTACAGAGAGGCACGGCCCTCGAGGAGAAAACAGGTGGAACGACCCGAGCTGCGAGCTCGCTGAAAGAGCGTAAATATTGATAATCCCTTCGACTATACCTAACTACCCCCTTCCTCTTTCTTCTTCCTGGATTAGATCGTAGTTTCAGCCAAAATTGTCGCGAGGAGCCCCACGGGGGGCGGGGGGGGGGGTGGCACCATCCTCGCCTGACATTGATATCGTCGCGGATCGAACAAGGATTTCGTTGATGCGATTTTCTGTAAACAGCCGAGCCACGATGGAAATGGGATTGCAATCTGATTAGGCCAGCGCCGTCTCGTTGGGCAATGCTAACGGTTTACATTCTTTTCGGCTTTGGTATTTTTCGCTCCTGAGGAAATTCGACGTTTCTTTGTTCATGGGGCACGTCGCCTCCTATTTTGTTATCCGTCGGTTCTTTCTCCGTTCTACAATTTCTCTCGTAGGCACGGAGGATCGTATCGTAGACCCTTTGGATTTAATTTTGAGGATTGGACAAAGCTTCTTAAATTAGAAACTCTTGAACGCTGTACACACCGGATGATGTCAACTCGTATCGTTTCGCTGGCGATGTTAGGCGTTATTCGAACAGTAAAATTAATTTAACTTTCCCAGCGAGTGACAACGGAACGATTCGTCGCGATTCTTTTATTCGCTCTTATCTCTCGAGGATTTCGGAATTATAGCCCGCATCCTCTGTTCGTAATAACAATTTACGAACAATGGCTCTCGTCGTGGGAATAGTTGACAAAAAGGGGGCGACCTCGCTGCGAAACAACGCGTCGATCCGGATGATGACGCGTTTTGAAAAATATCGTTGTTATTGTAATCGATTGAGCTGTCAGCGGAGCTGCGGTTGATAAGTAAACGTGTTAAACATTGTCGGAAAATAGCGCTCGATATCAGGCGCTCGGGTTACAGAAACGTTTGTCGATTACATATATACGAGGCGACTGGATCGCGCGTTAATGTGAGAAGGGATGAGCCGGTACAACTAATTTCAGCTTCGCCATTGTTCTCACGGTGCCGCTGTCACTCCCGAGACACTGGCTGTGTACCGACTAAGCCTTCCTGCGTCTCACATACACACACCGTCGTGTATTTATGAACCAAATGTATATTCCATTCGGTTATTAAACGTTATAAAGCCAGCACGCGCGTTTACGCTTACGAGACCTTTGATCGTGCTCCTTTTTAACGTTATTTCGTTCAAAGTTTTAGTGATATTACAGTCCAAATTATATCGAGTGATCAATTTTTTAACCGTGGATTTTTCGTTTTTCGAAATTATTTCGTAGCCCTTTATTTATGAATTACGAAGCATAGTGGTAAAGCGGTATAGGCGAACCAATATCAAGTCAGATATAGACAGTGTTGGAAAAATTAACTGAGAATTAAAGAATCGAGAGACAAGTGTTTAGCGTTTGAACGAGAATAGGAGGGCGTTTGAAATGGAAATTCGAATTAGAAGTCTAAATTAGAGAGTGGCTGCGACGGGAGCCGGACGAGAGCAGTTGTTGCTTAGCAAATAAATTTTTTTATCTTACTTAGCAGCGAACGTGGCGCGTCTATTAAAGCGCGAGACGACGACAACGACGACGACGACGACGACAAGGCGTCGTCGTCTCGAAGTCACGAGGGGTGGCGTCATTGTGATCATTGAAAGAGCGTGTGCGCCCGCTTGGTGTGTCGTCGTACATCTGGGCAACGTAGCCTGCATGTTTCCGCTCATTTACATACAATCACGAACGTGCATCCAGACAGCGGGGAAGGCTATACAATCTCGCAGCTCGGTATTGCCGGGCGATACCGTGTCAAAGATAGATGTCTCGCGTATACACGCTGGCACGTGGACTTGAAATCGCATTCGGCATCGGACGGTCGAAAATCCGATGGCAGACGTAGCGGCCGCGCGTACAACCCAAACGAGGTGATCGTTTTTCTCGCCCTTCTAACGTGTCCATTATAGCCCGTTTATCGACCAATTTCGCATGCCCTGATAGGTCTGCATGCACGGCTCACCGCAGGCGAAACACGTAATCGAGATATAGGATTATGGATCATTAATTAAATCCTTGCACCTAGCTCGCGCCGTTAGAATCAGCTGCAAGTCTATCGATTGCCAGCGTGTGGTATTCTAGGCACATTAGGCTTCGTCGATTAACTTCGACTCGGCGTCCGTTCGAGGTCACGACAAGAGGAGAAGAGAATTATTCCCGGGGAGAGAGTTTGTCGGGAAGAGGGTAGGGGGAGGGGGGGGGGGGAGGAAAGGGGGAAAGTCGAGTTCGTGAGTTCGCCTAATGTGAGCGCGTGACTGTCTCACCGCGGAGGCGGGCGTACATCAACTTTGGCCGATTCGAGCGGAACACAGAGGAACGGAAAGTTCAAAGAGACCTTCGCATACACGCGGTAAGTCCGCGAAAAGTTTTACCCTCTATCGATTCGGACGTGCTCGGCTACGTTTCTACCCTTGCAAATTGCTCGCCTCCACTCTCCGTGGTCAGACATCACGTTCCGCCTTTCCTGATTAGGCACCGACACCGATGCGTTTGTCGATACTGCGCGATTACACGGAGTGTGACTCCAACTCGTCACTTCTTGTTTCAATAACGAGACCAGGTCTCGTTCTCATTGGTTTCGAAGTAGAATCCCCCATCGTTTTAAATCGAGTGGCATTTTCTTTTTATTTCTTCGCGTGATTCGAACGACTCTNATATATATATATATATATATATATATATATATATATATATATATATATATATATATATATATATATATATATATATCTATATATAACGTTTAAAAAAAATAGTCTTCGGATTAACCTTTCCCCCGAGGGAAACGAAAACGTGACGTTTGTGATCGAAAAGGGGAGGAGTAAAAAGAAGATAGGGAATAAGTTGTACTTACGCGGCTTGCGCGAACGGAGCACGATGCGTGGCGGGCAGCAACGCGACCGTGGCCGCGAGGAGGGCGAAGCTCCAGGAGGCGGCGTGGAAGGACATCATATTATCCGTGGAACAAGACGGGATATCCACGTTCGAGGAGAAGAAGCAACGGCGCGTCGCCGTTCACGATGATGACGAGGAGAACGGCAAGGACGTCGACGAGGACGTCAGCGGATGTCCTGAGGCGTTGTTACCTGGCGCGTTGACCCGGCGCCTCTCTGCGTGCCGTCCGCGTCTCACCCTCCCCCCTTCTTTCTCCTCCTCCACCTCCTCCTCCTCCTCCTCCTCCTCCCACCCTACCTCCCTCCCACCCGCCCCGCCCTCCTACCTCCGTCTTGCTCTCTCCGTCCGCTTTTCACCCTCTCCGTTTTTCTCGTACTTTTCTCCTTCTTCCTCTCTCTTCACGGCTTCAGCCTGGTCTGCCTAGTAAAGTCAGCTACTACTTGAATTTCACCCAGATGTCTTGGCTTTCTCACTGACACTCGCGTCCGACGTGCCCTCGGAAACACTGTGTATCGCAGCTCGAAATCGAATCACCTCACACGATCTCCTTTCACGGACCGAGCCTCGAGAGAGACCGGTCCTTCTCGAGCTCTCGCGCAAAGAGTAAGTCTCTCTCTCTCACTCTCTCTCTCCTTTCTCTTTGTTCTCACTTACAAGACAAGATCACGACGAGATTTTTTCTTCCCTTCTCTCTCTCTCTCTCTCTTTCCGAAGTATATATATATGTATATATATATATAAAATCTTCCTTTCTCTCTCTCTCTCTCCGTCGTTCGATCCGTATCGTTCTCTCCTCGTTTCGAAGCTTCACACAGAGTACGTGCGATTATCGTTTACCCGTGTCACACCAGCGTTCGTTATCTTCGTGGCTCACTGGTTCAACGCATGCATAGTCCCCGGGTCGATTTTCACGATATTATTAACACGCCTCGTATTCTCTATCCTCCGACGGAGTTTCACGAGCACGATGCTTCTCTCCTTCTCTCTCTCTCTCTCTCTCTCTCTCTCTCTCTGTTCACTAAATCGCGCCGATGCTCCTGTCGCGAGCTTCCCACGAGACGAGACACTTGCTTTCCTTTCGCGAGCGGTTCTCTCCTTCCGACGAGCTTTCACACGTCTTTCCGAGACGATTTCGAGTTGGCGAGACGAGACGAGTTCTCACGCGTTCTTCTCTCTCTCTCTCTCTCTCTCTCTCTTTTCTCTCCTCTCCTTTTCTTTCCTTCCCGTCGTTCACCTGGGAATGAAGGTTGCTGCAGGACCAACGTTATCTGAGGAACAGGGAACGACCGAGGGACTTGTGCAGCGGAGGAGGGAGACAGCGGCGAGATCCTCTTCGAAGAGAACCCTCTCTTCTTCCCTTCTGTTCGTCCTACAAGCACGGAGCCGCCTGATCGTAGAAGATGTCCTGCCGCAGGCTCCGCTTCCTAGGGATCCTTCCTTCGACGATGGACATTCTTCTCTCTTCTCCGCTCTCCTCGCTCTCGCACTCTCGCTCGCTCTCGCACTCTCTCTCGCTCTTCTCTCACGGGGACACTCGGTCAGCACCCGCGCTACACCGCTACGCGCTCGGGAGTGGCGGCTCTCGCGTCTAGCCCGGCCGTACCAGCGCGCAAGCGCTCTTCCTTCCTCTCTTCCTGCCTGCTTCCCTGCCTATCTTTGCCTACCTGCCTGCCTCGCTTGCCTGCCTGCCTGCCTGCCTGCATGCCTTGCCTGCCTACTTGCCTGCTTTGCCTGTCTGCCTGTCTGCCTACTTACCTACCTACCTCTGACTTGTCTTACTCTTTCGCCCCTGATTAGCCCTTCCGTATCTGGCTGCCTCGAAACCGCCAAGGATGCTTTCCACCTCCGTCGACTACTTTCCTCGCTGTCTCTTTCACTCCAGAGTTTCTTTCCCGCGATCGTATTTTCCTCTTGTTGGAATTTACCAACCCTGGTGGTTTCCCTTTGATTCGCTGTCTCAAGGCTTTCGCGATGGACGACACAACGAGAACGACTCTTTATTTCTTTCCGCTTCCTTGTTGCCGGTTTCCTTCTCGTTTTCTCAAGGAGCCTCCTTCTCTCGGCTCCCGTCGTTTAGCCCGCGGTCTTGCACCACTGATTCGATTCTATGCAGTTTGGCTGCTTTTCGTTGCTCCTCGAGTGTTTTCGTATCTATTGTCGTTCCCCACAGCACGCGACTGATATCTCCTGTCGAATGCACTTATCGATTGTCCTCTCCATTGTTTGGAGGTCTGAGTTTGTTAACCGCGATCCAAACGAAAAGACGAGAAAATACTCTCGTCCGTTTATTACAGTGTTCGAATCTTTCGTTTCGACAAAGGGAGTGCTGTTTAATCTTGAACTTTGCGCAGAGACCTGCGAGCATTCATTCAGCGCGTGTATCGTCAGGGCATGCAGCGATTTACGTCGCACAGACGCGAAACGCGAAACGACAGAAGGGATGAACGTAAGGAAATCCGCGGCCCTTTCTCTTGCTGGCGAGGCAAAGTAATTGGAACGGTTGCGGGGCCAAGCAGATGTTCACCGTTCTTTCCAACCGCGTGATTCCAAATCGAGAAACTCTCTCTTTCTCCTCTCCGTGCTTGCAGGGTAAACATTGGATACGCAGTGGAAACGCGCGTCTGCGCGTGCACACCTGCGTACTCAAAAACGACCACGCAAACCGTTCAGGTAACCCGTTCGGAACCTTTCGATTCAATTGCTCGCGAAAGCCTATCTTTGTTGCTGTTCGACTCGTCGCACTCTCTTTCACCCTCGCTGTTTTCATCTTTCCTCACCATTTTCTCTACCCACCCCAGTTGTTTCTTTCATTCTCGTCACCGAGATCGGTTTACCTTCGATGTCAACGAGAAAATGAAGATTAATGCCCGCTGTTGAAAAGAGATTTGTGACGCCGCGACCCATCTCTCTCGTACAGCACCGTGATACCATGGTTTGGTTGTTACACCGTGATAAATGATAATTAATCCCTTAAGCTTCACCTTCGTAACGTCACATTTGCCATCGCAGCGAATTTCACGCGCGTAATTTCTCGCAAACGTGGACGATCCCTCTTTTGAAAAATATCATCTCGTACAGATTTGTATAACGTTTACGGAGCAATAGAATGGAAAAGTGTTTTGTTTCTTAAAATTCAGCGAGCTCTCAAGAGGTTAATATCAATAGTACTCCATCGATTTCTCTCTTACGCTACTAGAAACATTGTTACGTCGATACGCGTACGTTGATCATATTTTCTTTGTTCTAGCGAGCTATGTCGCCCGTAAGTAACAAATAACGCGCGTTCTTCGTTAGGATTTCATCAACAGTGACTTCTAACCTTGTCTCGATTCGCGTCGAGCTGCCAATTTCTCGTTCTTTCGCTTTCCCCCTCCCCTTAAAATGGAAGATTTAGAAACGAAACGAGTTATTCGTCGCACGACGGTCCTTTCTCGGATACACTTTCGAATTTCAGAAGGATGTTCTCGCGTACGATGGGACAAGGCGAGGATAAAACGCGGGTGATGTACACAGGGTGGGCGGGGGAGGGAAGTTTTATTGGCCTGTTTCTACCACGGAACGCCGCTGCCGTTGAAAACGGGGGTGCGACGCACGGCGCCGCCTCAAGATTTCGTTTCGATTCAGCCGCGAAACGTGCGGCCTCTGTTACGCGGTCTAAATTTGGCATTGGTTTCCGATGATTCGCGGAACCCGGTGCACACACAGTTCGTAAAAACGTGGAAATAAGGGCGCGGGAAACACGTCAGGGGTTGGCGACGACAACACGTGACTCTTTCAACCCTAAAGAGTCACGATCGATTTTTTCCCCGGAAGGTTAACACACTGCTTTTACCACTTTTTCTCTTACCCTTTTATTTACCTTTTTTTTTCTTTCTCTCCCCCCCTCGAACCGATTTTACGCAATTTAACGAATTTTCGACCAATTACACGCTTGTTTCCGACGTTACGTATTTCCGCAGAAATATCTATATTATTGATATTGGAAAAGCGTCGAATCGGTGAGTCGAGTTAAAGCGAATTCAATTAAACGGATGGCGTCGGATTAGACAATTAAATTAAATTTGAAAAAGAAAGAAAGAAAGAAAGAAGAAAAAAGAAAAAGAAGGGAAACGTTGAATAATTCCATCCATCGAAGCTCCATCATCTTTGTCATTATAATGTCGCGTCACGGGGCGTAAGACACCGTCGAATAAGTCATCTGCCGCGCAACCATTAAAGTAAACGAACCGCCGCCAAGCGTATTTAGCAATCTAGCAGGTTAAGCACGTCTATATGTATGTATGAGCCTCTGTAGAGAGCGTTCGGGCTTTGAGGGTCACTTTTCCGTGCTTGCCATTGATTACAAAGGAGAATGTACCTGCATGCACGGCGAACGACGTACACGAACGCCGTGTGTGGACACCGAAACAAGAATTTTCGTTCTGATTTTAACAGGAAGGGCACACCTGATATCGGTGGTGTTCGCGGGATTAACCGAGCGCAAGGTTTCGCCCGGTGCACTCGCACGGCTGAATGTGCAGGAAGTGAGCCGCGAATGAAGAGAGAGAGAGAGAGAGAGAGAGAGAGAGAGAGAGAGAGAGAGCGGAGCCCTGGTTCGGTCGTCCGAACCAGGATAGAGACAGCGGTGGAACACAGAGTCGATATTACGGTTCTCCAACTATTGCTCGCGCGCAAAAGTTCGCCCAGAACGGTTTAACGGTGGCATTTCGCGGTAACTCGAGAACCCATTGTCGAATCTTCGTTGCATATCAACGGGGCGAGGGGAGGTGAATCGATCCCTGCCGCGATCCTCGAAACTCGAATGCCTTTTCAAGGGCTCTTCCTCTGTCCTTCTCCCCGTTCGTCTGTCCGTTTCCATCCCTCTTGGTCTGGACTTTGCATCTTCCGCGTTTACTCCCCGGGGGGAGGGGCGAGTTTAATGAATTCGGCCGGCGAAACGTTCGGACGAACGTCCGGCGATCTGATTTGATTTTTACTCGAAACCCCCGAGTGAAATTGCACGCGAGACGGCGCACGTGTTGCGTTACAAATATTGCGTTTGACACGCGTGTAATCGAATTTTCCGTTCGATCGGGTCACGAGCCGAGCGAGCGAGTGGTTATTTCGCAACTGATACCGGCTGGATGTTTCCCGACGAAACGAACCGATCGAGTGGTCGATCAACGGTGGTTGAACGGGCGTACATTCGAGAGTATCTTTGGGCGGTCTCGAACGATCGTTCACCTCTCTACTCAGTGGGGGGGGGGGGGGGGGGGGGGGGGGGAGAGGCGGGGGTGTATATTGCACCGCGCGGCGAGTTATTACCAGTCGGCGGCGACGTTTTATTTCGCCGCGGCTGCTGACTCGCCGTGGAAAACTTAAAAAGCTTTCGATCGTGCCGATTTGTTTCGAAGCCGCCCGACGCACCGACCGCGGAATTCTCTCCTCTTCTGTGCCTTCTCTGTTCTTCCTGAAACACGTCTCGCTCGCACTCTCGCGCGTCATCGTCGCGGCCGCGGTCGGTCGTCGTCTACCCCGAAGCCACTCGGTCAGCGAGACGCTATTATGATATTTTCTAAGAAGCCGGTCGGTCTAATTTCCAGCCCGGGCTGGCAGTCGGAGAACTTTTTCTCTCCGCCAGGTTCGCCACCGCGCCCCCCTCTACTTTAATTTCTTTTATCGCTTTGTTTCTCTTTCATAAACGCGGATTATAGCAGGGGAAACTCGCTTTTGTCTCTCGTGGCGCTCACTTCTGGGTACATATTTACCCGTGGCGGGTCGACTTCGAATATAATTGCGATCGTCAAGCTGGAGAGGCTTGGGAAGGGAACGCGGAAACTGCGAGAGTGTAGAGAGAGAGAGAGAGAGAGAGAGAGAGAGAGAGAAAGGGAGGGGAAGGAACGAAAGGAAGAAATGGGAGGGTAAGGGAGGAAGTAAACGACGAGAAGAAGGCGAAGGAAGAAAAGGAGCTTGTAGAACGGCAGTCGAATTTCCGGGGATGAAAATAATCCTCGAGTGTCCCGACGGGGGAGGTCTCGGTAAATTCTCCGATTCATCGAATTCGTGCGATTCATCGGTTCCTTCGGCCGAGCCCGATCGAATCCTTCCGTCGTGGCAGCTTCGTTTCCGGGTGTACATTTAAAACTACACGCTAGAACGGAGGAGAAGACTGCAGGTGGCCGAGAAAGAAAGAGAAGAAAGAAAAGACGGGAGAACAGAAAAAGAAATAGAGAGAGATCCCCTTCCCTGTCGTTCGACGTTGGTTAAGATTCTTTCTCTGTTTGAGCTCGTGAGCAAAGACGAAGGGGATGAAGAAGGAAGCAGAGAAAGAGAGAAAAAAGAACCGGCTTGGTTCTCTCCGCACGAAAGGACCCGGGACCACCCGGGATCTGTCGTCGAACGATAGAAAAATATTTGAGGACAACGCCGAGAGGACGCGGCTCGATAAATTTCTTTATTCCAGCAGTTTGGAAAATTGGATTTTATTCGAAATAAAGATCCGCTCCGGTGCTTATCGGGGCCGGACGGATAGAAACGGTATCGAAATGTAAAGCTCCAGAGACACCCGATCGATCACCTCTCTCTCTCTCTCTCTTCTTCTCCTCCCTCCGCTCGCGCTTCCTACGTTCTCGTTCAGACGTGTTTGACAGGAGCGTCGGCTCCTGCCGGCCGACAGGCCACATCCAGCACGTTATTTCCTTCTTAACGCGTCCACCGGGATGCCAGCTAATTAAAAGGGAGAACAGGCAGCCTCTGTTCGCGTTAATAACCGCATCCAGCGTGCGCGCCGCTTGAGCTCCAGCGCGTTCCATTTAAAATTGAACCCGCACCACCACCACCACCACTACCACCACCATCATCACCACCACCACTACCACCGAGCGGTGGTCTCTTGTCACCGACCGTGTCGAGCCGTAACGCGACGCGTGTTCTTCACGGACACGTGTCTACCCTCTGTTTTCTCGTTTCTTTTTTTTTCTTTTTTCATTCTGCGCTCTTTGCGCGCTGCTCGTGCACGCACGCGTGTACGCCTTCGTTTGTAAACACGGCGAGGTTGATCGAGTTGAGGGTGTGGCGCACGTTAATTGCGAGAGACGGAGTTGATTGGAGAAAATTACCGGAAGAAGGCCGGAATCGAGCGCGAACGCGCGACTTTTCTTTTCCTTCTTTTTTTCTTTCTTTTCTTTTTTTTTTCCATCGAGGTTGTCGCGTTTCGTCGTCTCATTCGTTGGACCACCGACGCTTCTGGTCGTCGTTTGCACCTCGCCACACGGCCGATTACGTTAATCGCGGGGAAAAATTATGGACAAAGGTATCTAATTAGAGGCCAGCGCTCGTAACAAGCGGGAACGGAGCACGGAGTATCGCGAAGTATCAGATATAAAATGCCGCCTCTAATTAACGGACTAACGTTTAATTAAAAGAAAAGAGGCCGTCACCGTCTCGCGGCTGCTGCGTCTTGGACGATCGTGCATCTCGAGTAAATTAGACGAGTCTAGAATGAGACTTGCACGCGTTTCACACGTTTTTCTATGTCGACGTTGAGACCAGTTGCCAGAGTCGATCGATCGTGCGACAAAAATTCGATGACCGAGGGTACGATTATTTTCGATTTAGGAACGAATGGATCTGGATCGTTGAATCATGCTGGCGAGTAAGGGACGCGTACGCGTCTGGTACTTTAGCTGTCGGGTGCATGAAAGCGTGTATCGCGAGGCATGTTCTTTCCTCGAACCCTCGTCTTACAACCGCGCTCGCGAGTTCCGCTTCGGCATTCATCACAAAGCGACACGTGCAAGTGCTCCTTTCCCTCTCTCTGTGCCTTTTCCACTCGCTGGTTCGTGTGTTCCTCTATTTCCCCGTCTCCTCTGTTGGACATATCTCGTTGGTATCTGAGTTGTCGAGCTGAGATTTCCACGCGTCACGAGCAAACGCGCGTAATTCTGCAAATTACGAGCGCGTCGAGTTTGTTTCTCAACTGCGTTTCGTCCCGATAACCTTTCGTTTCAGCTATCTGTCTCCTCCTTTTTTCTTCTAATTTTTTATTCAGTTGCATTTAAGTTGCAAATTAATAGTAATTAATATTGATTAATCGATACATGAAAAACAACGGACTTGGGACTGTTTGTCTGGTCGTTCTAATCTTAAGGCATAAAATACGATCGATGGTATGTGTGTGAAGTTTTAAAAATGAGATTCTCCATACAGAATCTTCATATTGAATCGTGATAGCAGTGTAGGTAGAACTTCCTTAATATCCCTTTGTCATCGTCGTATTCGGACTTACTCAGTTTACCAAATTACTTAAATATTAATAAATTATTTATTACAAACTACAATAGGTTTAAAATTGTTCAGTTTTTCTTCTACAATATATTTCTTATTACAGTTTAAGGAAACTTATGCAAGCACGTCAGTTTACGTCTGTCTGAAGATTCTTGAAAACGGAATAAGTCTACTTATCTGCCGAGTGTCGTATATTTGTTCTTTAGTTCTGTTTTTATACATTCAGAGAGAGAGAGAGAGGGAGAGAGAGAGAGATTTATCTTTTCACACGTACGTGTACAACGTGTAAAGAGTGCTTGCGTTATAACGCAATCGCAATCGTGAATTGTTGAAAGGAAAAACGTTTTAAAGCGCGTTAAGCAGCGTTCGATATTTATCTTTGTTTCGTGTTAATATTAACGATATGTTATGCTCGCTGAAACGTCGCGATAATACTCGTATATTCTCGCATTCGCCGACGGCATAAATTAAACTTTCATTGTACGTATGAAATTGTCATGAGGCTGATGACAGAGCCAAAATAATTTGCCGTATATTAAGAACGTTTACCTTTGGCCTTAAGGTATCGAGAATAGAGAGAGAAAAAGAGAATTCATTGTAAGTAGTATGGGTCAGTGGTCAGACTCATGCGTTATTTTCATCCCTTCTAATGGCCCGGCTCAGCTTGTTTCGATTATAAGCACGACGCTCAAAAATCTATAAAACCTTGGAATTCTCATGAAATAATCAATTCGTGTCTGGAATATCTCATTTACTTTTTTCTGCACGTTGGAATCTGAAAAATTGGGCCATGATCCGTACCTCCCTCTGTAAAGATAGATACGACAGACAAACATTTTTATATTGGATGAAAGTATTACGAGAGAACGTCGAGAGAGTTTCCTTGGCTTTTTTGGAGCCCACGTTTTCGAAAAGAATTCCCTGATACGATTTAACGATTCATGAGATTTCACGTAATGTGTTTCGAGACCTTTTTAAATTTCAATTGTTCGCCATCGTTTTTTACAATATCCCGTTCCTGTTGTCTTCAAATATTCACGCGAAAGCCGCCATTTTCAATATAGACGAGATCGAGCTCGCACCGAGAATTCAATAAAGTACTCAATAAGAAAAGAAAGGGGGAGAACGAGAGTGTACAATGGCAACCGAAAGTATTGGCACGCGATTGTATTTATAACGGCATTTACCAGGTATATTGAATTTCGTATTATTCGACAGTGCGTTCGCACCGTGAAAGCTCAATGCTGCAAGAATGAAACGTACAAAGAACCGAATGAAAAAAAAAAAAAGAAGAAGAAGAAGAAATACTCGGTACGCGTGCGCACTATACTTTTGCGTTTCTCAATAATTCTCAATAATCGTCTCTTCAATCCTCATTTTCTCTGACAAAAAGGGAAAAAGAAACTACCCGGGGGAGCAGCGGGAGTGCAACGTTTCTCGTATATTTCTTGCCGCGATTTGTCCCCCCCCCCCTCCCCCCTCCCCCCTCTTACTCCAATCCGTGCCCCTTAAATCACCGAACACCATCCGGCGCACACGGTGGTGTACACACGCCCGTCCCAAATCACCCGTGTGCCTCGCAAACAAACCGAATTACTAAATCAAATTAACGCGACCGATCGAACGTATCAGTAAACCCTCCAGGATTTAGCCAGCCGTCCTCTCCTTGCCCCGTTAAACCCGAGAGCCTGAGAGATCTACGATCCAGCCCTCCCCGTCCCGGCCAAACCAACCGGCCGCATTTCGTATTCGCGACGTTCCGGCGAACGCTCACGCGCGGATCCTCTCGACGGACGTGGAGGAGCACACCGTGTGTACCAACACACCAAGCCTCTACGTAGAATTTCTGGCCGCGGTCGGATTTCTCTGATGACGTTATCATTATAGCCGGTAGCAGCGTGGCCGTTATTAGCGCAGCGGCGGTGGCACGACGTGGACGGGGGGGCGCTTGCGCGAGAGATCAAAACCAGCGGGTTCTCTGTCGCCTGGGATGATGGCTCGTGGCCCGTCTATTGATCTTGGCCAACATTGCGCGCCAGAACGAGGCGCGCTCTCTCTCCTCGTCGTCGTACACGCCAGCGTTGCTTGCCACCTCGCGCGTCCCTACCTCGGCTCGGCTCGGCTCGGCTCCGCTCGCTGCGCTCTGCAGGCCGCTTCGGCCCGAAATGATACGTGTGCGTCGACCATTGAGAATCGAACGGAATTCTCTGCACGCGACAGAGAATCCTTTCCCTGGTCCATCGCCCCCTCACCCTCCTTACTTTGGTTATTCCATCCTTTGAAACGCACGTCGAGGCGTTTAGATATGCAAATATGTATGTACGGATTTCCGTTGGCGTGCGCGTTTCGATTTTTAGACGAACTACATACGTAGAAAAGCAATCGTAAGTAGCAGTTTTGTGATTCAGATCTACTTGCGTTTGATTCGTTTCTTTTCCACTTTTTTTTTTTTTTTTTTTTCGTTTGTTTGGGAGAGACACGAATTTATGAAGAACAGAGGAGGGCTATTAATCGATTGTCGACGAAATTTTTAATTTTATTTTATTATCAAAAGATTGAGACAAGCATCACTGTGTTATTGTGATTTGTGACGTCATTATACCGTATACCGATCCTGTTTCATTGTCCTTCCCTTTTGGGGAGTGAGTTTCAGTAATTACTCAGTGGCGAGGGTTGTTGGTATTTGCATGGGATTTTTCTCGGCTCGAGTGGCGGTTTAGTTTGGGGTTTGTCGTAGGCTGGGATTCGACAGGGAGTATTTTCGGTTTGTTAGGGAGTTTTTTTCTACACTCGTGGCTGCGGTCGAGTTTGTAGCACGATTATCAAAGTTAATTCTTCATGTAGCACTCTTTCCGCGCCATTTTCTTTGGAGTTAAGCGTGCTAAATATTTCACTCCGTCTAAATTATATTTTTACTCCTTTGTATGATATGTATCTAAGATGTAGATCTTCACTCATTACCAGGAACATGTATATGCAAAGCTTCTTGCCTGCAATACCGCTCAAAGTAATTAATTACTATAATTTACTTGTTTGCCAAGCTCCGAACAAATAATTCCTTATCGAGAGAACGAGCATTCTTTGATATTATCGATTAGAAGCGCTACGTGTCTCGAGTTTAAATTATTCAACAAATATCCATCGATCATCGATGTTGTTCGAACAATCACGAGCGGTATTGTATATTCTCTTAACTTGGTCCCTACCATCCTGACCTCTACACCTCTTATTGATGAGACCATTGTTAAATTACTGATAAAAGGCATTTGCCTTCGTTTCCTTTCTTTTCATCCATCTTTTTCTCGCTGGCCTTCCTTTAATTACAGCGCTACGAAGATAAAAGTTCCACGGCCGGGAGAATCCTCGTAATAAATTTTCATCGAAACGAATATCGTCGGATTTCAATTAGCACAAAGACCGACAATTAGCGTTCCATGTCGGTTTCGTTAAAATTTTTTTCGAATTTTTAACCTTCTCTACCAATGTCTACAGCTTTCGACTATAACTTGTCGCGTAACTTGAAAGTTACGTGTTTGTATTTTTCAAATTTTCTAGTTTCATAGTGGTGTTGCATCACTCTTTATTGCAATTTATTTGTAAATATTATTAGCTCTTGGATTTTTAATTGAACTAAATTTGAAATTAACAAGATAAACAAAAGCTGAAGTTCAATCTGAGTCTGCGGATTTTGGTACTTTCAAATTTCCCATAGATCCCATAAAAATCCACGGTCCAGCAATGATTTTCCAAATGAAATTTTGGTTAGATTGAAACGTAGATGTGTTGTTCTTCTCTGTTTGATATTCTGGCGAATTTGAAAAACGCGTGTGTCGTTTTGGGCTCGGGTCCGAGTTCACCGCTAGATTGTTCATGTACAATCGCTATTCTTCGTTTCATGGTGCCAAACTTGGCTTCGTAATATCACGCGACACGGTTCACCGGCGTTACCAGGCGTGCCTGGTTCTCCAGGAATCCGTGTTCCTCATAAATAAGATTGTCCAATTTAACTACGCGAAGGCACCGGAATAATCGTGAATCACTAATTAAAACGCTTTATTGAAATCGCGGAAATAATTCAACGTCGAGTGTCTAGCATCGAGAGAACGGTCGCGATTGAATTTATCACCTGCCTGTACTGTGTCGTGAAAATTCTGCGGGGATAACGTATTTTTTAGACTATACGCTTTCTATATTTATTCTATCATTGTTCGTTTTATCTCTGTCTCCCATGCTCCTTTATTCCGATTATTTATATTACACTACTCGTTCCATCTAAAAGTTCTATCGTTCTTTTTCTGTGGCAGGAGAAAATGTAAAAAAAGGAGCGGAATTTTATTTTTAAAAAATTTTTGAGGTAATTTAAGCTACTATCTATTTAAACTAAATCTGTCGTATTGTTATTCTACTTTGTAAAATAATGAAGAAAATTCTGCGAAAAGGAGATCGTCAGAAATGTAAAAAAATTATTTGTCGAAACGAAAGTGGCTATCTTTTTTTAAAATAAAAAAATTCTTTTTTCCTTGTATCTCTGCATCATTCGTTACAGTCAGAAAAGAAACTCTTGGCCACTTAATACTTATCATCAGACCGTGGATATTTATGCAGATTCCTGCATTACGTGCATTCTACGTATTTCTAAATCTGCCACAAAAACTTAAAGTTCTATATCTACGTGCATGTACTATTTCTCAATGTCTATACCTATCTACATATACTATTTCTTTTGACTCGCAAAACGTTCTCCACTCCACTCCGGAATTTTTCAAGTTTTTTCAATCTCGATACTCACCGGCTTGTGACTGGCTGATGCTTACGAAGCCGCGAAATGAGTAATACGCTGAAGGAACGCGAACGCATAATAAATTCTCAGAGGTGTGTAAGAAAAAAAAAAGAGAGACAGAGAATTTACGAATTTCCTTTTCGCGATTTCCTAATCCATCGCGGTTTCATTTGTTTCACTCGACGGCCAGTGATTATTTCTCGCGATAAATTGTTATTACGGCCACCATGCATGAGGGTTGGTTCGGTCGAGCGGACAGTGATGGTGGTGGTGGTGGTGGTGGTGGTGGTTCCTGTCAGCTCGAGGAAGAGAAGTTCGGGTTGTGTTCGCGTTTTCCTGAATAGCAAAATCCTTGTAATGACCGGAAGTCTTATCGTTTACCGCGAACACGAGGTCGGATAAAATCGGTGGCAGTCAGACATAGCCGAGATGCTATCTAGCCACCTGTGTAGGTGTAGACCTTGTCGTCGTTCTATTATCCATTATGCAAACAACCGATAAATGAGTAGATAACACATTCGTATACCAGCTACAACATATTTGGAGCGGTGGATATTTTTCGGACAAATGCATCGTTTAACTAAACACCTTGACTCGTCAAGGGACAAACTCGTCGCGTGATAAATGCAAACGTTGCGTGGACGCCGCCATGTTGCCGAGAAACGTCGCTTCACGAGGATATCGAAATCTTAATAATACTTAAATAATATTTATCCACGATTGACATTTGCGTGAGTCAGAAAGTTAACGATAAACAAAATCTCTGTATATACGTATTGAAAAGAGAATACTTTTCCAAAATTCCTAAAATAAAAGTAGAAATAACGACGAAGAGGAACTGCGCTTTGCAACTATAACTCTAACGTTAAAGGCGATATTCGGTAATTGTAAATTGATTGAAACAAATTGCAAGGGAAAATTGCGACGGCGCACCGTTAATCGATGCATTCATTCGCCGCTGCATCCATCTTTCGCCATCAGTCGTTGCTGCAATTGAAAATAAAAATTGAAAATAATTCACTCTGGTCTGCACTTTCTCTCTGGGTTAATTCTCGGCGCATGTTCGGCGCACGTCCGGGGATGAACGTTTAAGTATTAAACAGTTACAGAGGGATTAAACGAGTACCCCCCTAGCGGGAAGCTTAGGGGACTTGTGTTTTATGCAGTATTTATTGCTGGCAACTACCATCAGTATTTACTACAGCCGTGGGACTACTTAAGAATTAATGTCACCTTAAGAAGGATGGAGGAATTAGAATGCACCATTGACTCGCTAATTCATCTTGATGCCTGAAATTTGCAACTCGGTCACTTTGCGTATAACCGTTGCATGGGTGCACCTTTATTTTTATAGGGGTAGTGAGCAAATAAAGACGATAACGCGATTCTTCTTCCTTTTACCCACGGCGTTCTCGACTCGCGTATGCACGTCTTTGAAGAGGTTTTTGGACGAACAAGCACGAATGAAACCAAACCGAACGAAAGGGGAAATTACGAAGGAGCTGGAAAATTCATCGGCGAGCAAGATCTCAATGCTTCCTTCCGAATTGTCCCATCTAAAAAGCACACTTTACGATAATAACGTTCCTAACGTGTTAAAACGTTCTACGCTTCAACCAACGAATAAAGTCTGGCCTCTTCCTCCCTTTTCATACATTATACGACGATGTAATGCAACATAGTGCGCGCGTGTGCACATGTGTATGTCCAAAAAAAAAGAGCAAAGAGAGAAAAAAAGAAAAAGAGAGGAAAACAAAGTGGAAGAAAATAGTGTTTACGCGGCTTTATTCTATCCTGGCTGGCGTTTAATGGTTTGCTCAGGCGCCAGGTTACATCCTAATTTGGCGGGCGCGCGAAAGCCGCGGCAGGGAAAACGCGGAAAACGGGACTGGCGGTTTATCGGGGGAAAGACGAGTATCCGGTTACATCTACATGCTGAGGAAAGACTCTGGACGCGACTAGAGCGGAAGTATTCGGCAGAGAGAATGCAACAGGCAACGACAAGGCCTGGCCGAGCTGGGAGTGCTGCATCGGCGTAGCTATACGTATAGCGGTCGGTTGGTCGGTCGGTTGGTCGGTCGGTCGGTCGGTCGGTCGGTTGGTCGGTCGGACGGTCGGCCGATCGGCACCTGGCTCGAATCGCAGCGATGATTTTCCAGCCTCCGAGAGCCCATCCCCCTTTTCGTTTGCTTTTCTTTCCCCAGGGCGTGGCGCTCAACAGGCTTGGCATCCAGCCAACTTTCTGCTTTTCTCTCCTTCCCCGCTCTCCTTTCTTTCTTCACCCCCTCCCCCCGTGTTCTTTCTTCCACTCTGTTCGTCTTCCTCTTCTTCCTTCGTTTCCTTTCTACCGTGCCGGTATAACAACGGGACGAGAAAAAGGAATGAAAGAGCTGAGGGCGCGCCAACGCTATAGGCCATCTTCTGTGTATGTACGTACGTACGTGTACACATACACGCGCGGATATAGGGTATCTGACCAAGGTAATTCCTCGCGAGAAGACAAGTTTTTATCGGAAATGCAAAATAAAGTTTTTACGCGCCAAGTTTCCTCTCGTTGGGAAATGATTTTGAAAATCTGCTCGGTATACCGTGTGCACCGTGTGCGCTTCGCGATGTTCCCCCAAGTCAAAAAACTGTATTTTATAAATAATAGGAATGCCGAGGAACTAAGAGCAGCCATTGTTTTTTTAAGATGGTGGCATCGTTGCTCGGCCGGAAAGCGTTATATCACGCTCTACAGTGCTACTTCAACTATTTAAATGTTACGAGTGATCACCACACTCTCTCGTTCGGCACGAAACTCACATTGATCTTGAGTATCTGTCACAAATATCGTAGATAATTTCATATATACAGTCAGACCGTAGATTTTCACGCGAATTTTTACACTCTCGCGAACGTGATCAAACGCAAAGTGGAATTTAATTAGAGTTTAAAGTTCTACATATTGAAGATCGCAACGCGCCGCTTGAAACCACATTTATCACTCGTTCTGACGCGCGTATCTCGAGCAATTTCCATTATACAGACGTTATAACGCCGTTGTGCGCGATAATTGGATCACCCGTTAGCCGCGCGCTGCTACACGTGTAGATACGAACCCGGGCCCGGGTTTGGTTTGTTGTTGCCGTTGCATCTCGTGGATCTATCCGCCGGACTTTAACTCGCATCGGATACATCCGGACGTATTTATGCCCCGCGTTTAGTTGCGCGACCGCTCGAAGGCCGCTCGAAAGCCGCACAGCCACTAACTAACTTCCTGTTATTTGCACGGTTTACCCTCGACCGGAATTGACCTCGAGCCGTGGCATCGAATACGATTAAAGTTAGGCGCGGCGCGCACACCCGGAATTCCAGAGGTGCGCTGGCCAAGGGTGGAAATTTTCCTCGGACTGAAACAACCATGGTGCGAAAAAGTGTTACGCGGCGCGCTGCGTCTCGCCGATTGTTTCTTTTTCGCCCGATGGTAACGGGATACGTTTGCCGAGGTTATCTTACAAATTGCACAGTCGCTCGATATTACAATGGTAGTTATCGGGGAAATCGGTCTCGCGACTTCCGGTCGGGCTCTCGCCTCTTAAGTTTCACAAACTCCAAGTTCGCTCGGTATTGCGTTTCACCGCTGGCCTGGACTCGTTGATGCTAGATACCTGATTTAAACATCTTTAACGGTGGCTCTCGCGATTTCGAAACACCTGATATCGGCCACTTTCAGTTCCTTTCAGTTTAGCAGCGAAATTCAATTGGTTATATACGTGCGTATTGCTGGTTGAGAATTATAGCGACTGGGTTTGTTATTGTAAGGAATTTATTGTCATGCTGTGCTGTGGAAGCATGTCGCTCGAGTGTATTACTCGAGTGTATACATAATTTAATTTAAAGTGAGTAAAGTTATAGAGAGAGAGAGAGAGAGAGTAAAATTGTAGCTTAATCGATTGTGAAACTATCAGGGATGTTGCTTGTGACAACTAGCGACTAAATTTAAATTCTCGAACTATGATTTTCAGCTTGTATGTATTTGCATGCGTGAAAGTCTAATAAATTGAAAATCGTTCTCGCAAAACGAAATCTTAATCCAGTTCCAAGACAAGAAAAGAATAAATCTATACAGTTAAAAAAGATATAACTCTCTGTTAATCAATTTAGGTTTAATTAAACTCGATATGCCAAGCTATGTGAAACGATGTTGGTCTAAAGAAATTCTCAAGTTCATCGATCAAGTATGAAAAATGATTCTAACAAGAAGGAGCGAAGAAAACGTAATATTCCTCGTTCATTCTCTTATCCATTATCTTCGTCGGTAGGTTTAGGTTACGCTAAGCTCGAGGATACACCGAGTAGCTAGGAGCGGGGTGAGGCTAGGTCATTTGAATTTAGGGGAAACTCTATTGGAATTTAAGCGGGCACCACTGTACCAAGTACCAAGTTTCATTAGCAGCGAGTCTAGTCATCAGCATCAAATTTTCATTTAATCTACTATTTGAGCGCATGTATTATTTAAAGTATATGATTAAGAATTGCGCTGGATGCACCAGGGTTGTGATAATCCTAATATCGTGGGCTCCGATTAGCTCTAGTTAGGACTTGTTTAATAAAGTTAGCGTTATCGCGGAACTTAGAGTTTCAGCTGGGAACATTTGAGATTCGAGAATATTGGTGAGAATATTCTCAGACTCGGTTGCTCTCCATTAAGAATAATCTTAATCTGAAAAAAGTTAAAATGACTACGACCTGGAAATATTAGTTAGAATAGTGTAGCAACTATCGTGACAATAGTTAGTACAGAGTTGCAACGATTTCAGATTTGTGAATCATTCGATGACTGTGAGAACAATCTTAAGTTGAGTTTAGAACAAGTTGGGTTTCTAAAAATTAATCTTCTTCTGGATTTTTGGATCAGAAATGTTCGATCAGAGAACCATTTATAGTTTAAATTAACAATATTTAAGTTATTGGAACGGTCTCTAACTTGACGATCGTTTGGTGATCCTAGAGGAATAGAGTTCCGACAACGCCATCTTGGAATCAGTGTACCCTCGTGAAATTACCTTCGGGTTGTAAGACTTGATTAGAGTCCACCAAGATTTGCAGGATTTCAGTTATCGATTCTCGGGGGCTTCATCAGAGCAATCTCGTTGCTGAATTCGTTCTTCTCGCCGTTTTCTTCTTTGAATTAGGTTTGGATTGGTTCCTCGACTTATTTGGATTAGACTCGGGTTTGGTTCTTTCGGATTTAGAATC